GAAATGCAATGAGTTATTTATTCTTATGAGATTATATATATTCTGGAATATTTTAAGTGGAGAAAATAATTTTTTGATCTTAAACAACATGCAACAATTTGTTTTCTGTTTGTGATATGCATTATATTATTTATCACAAGGAGTGAGATTTATATTGATAAAATATAATATAAAAATTTTATATACAAATAAGAATAACAATTTTTTTAAATTTTGAATCTGATTTTGACTTTTGATTTTTTTTCCATCCAAGTTATACAATGTGGCTAAAATTATAGTGTTTCATTTTATTCCAAATTATTTGATTAAAATTGAAAAATATGTTTTAATTTCATATAAATATGATCAATTTGAAATTCATAATCATGATATTTAGTTGAATTTTTCTCATATAAGAAAAATTTAAAAATTTTCTTTGTAATTTAAAAAAGGTTTTTTGTACATTTTAAGAGTACTTATGATGTGTTTTTGGGCGATAAAGTAATTTTAAAAATATATTTCGAAAAATAAAATTAATAAAAACATTAATTTCAAATGCCTCTTCAAATTTAGCTAAATATCTAAGTTGAAAAAATTATCATTGAACATTATTAAAAAATTGAACTCAAATTTGATTTATTTGTAAAAATGATTGATTAACATCATTGATACATAAAATTCATTGAAAAAATCATACAAAATATAAAATTGTATCAAAATAACTCTCAGAATTATCATTAGAAACACTATTAGTAGAGACAAACACAATCATATATCATACATGCCGAAATAAATTGTGCATTTTCTTTACTATTTTTTATGAATAATGAATAGTTTAAAATATAAGTTTACTTCATATTGTTGAGTTTAATTTTGGTTGAGGAGTATTTTAAATTTTAGCTATTTTTAGCAAAAAGATACCCCATGTATTTTATCCCAGGTTTGTGTATCACCAATGACTTTCTAAGTACATACTTTCACACACATGTGAGTTTCTCACGTGGATATTGAACTTTGTGATGAACCACTTTACATTGATGTTTGAACTCATAATGTTTACAGTCACTTGATTTTTGTTTTTTTCATGTCCATGAGTCTTGGTTAAACGTTAACACACATTCGACAAATATATAGATTTTTATACTATCAACGATGAAAGTGTAACAACAAACATATTTTAGATTGTATGATATGTAATCTAAATAAAACCGGACTATAAACTAATAATCCAAAAAAAATTATCAACCATAGATAAAAAAAATTGATGTACTTTACATTATCTATGTAATGACATATTGAAATATTAAATTTAATCTCGAAGAGTGATTAGAAGTGGTTTAATCATGTGAGTGTATCTTTTTTTCACAACTTTATGTTTTACAAATTAATTAGCAAGTGAAAGATCATACGTATCATCATGCGTAAAACTAGAAGAACTCACAAGAAGTAAAGTTGTAGAGAGCACAAAAGTAACAATAAGTACTATGTAAAGTACAACTAAATATGCAAAATCAAAATTAGACTCTTCAACTATTTCACTTGCATGTCAAGTTGCCCATTACTTGGAAAATAGCTAATTAGAGTCAACTTTGTGATTGTTCTCAAATGTGACATTGCACGGCTATTCCACTAGCTCCGAAGAAATTTCACGCTCGGCATCAATTTTCTGCATGTGATTCTCAGATCGATTTCCTATACAATCCCTTGCGTACACAACCAATTTATCATCCATGGCAAAGGGATTCAAACTCGGACTCGGACACTAGAATACACCAGAACGCATTCTTGGACTAAGAGAAAGATTGTGATAAGAGCGACAAGTAGTGCTAGTTCTATACTTTGCCTAGGTCGCCGTCCCTGACCTGCTTTGCTTGAGCCATGTCCTTCGCTCCTCACGGCACTGCGCTGCGAAGGACAACTAACAAATCGGCTTTTCGAAATTCTTCTGCACTGGACGGGACCAGCAAATCCCCAACAGTGGAATCGAGCTATGCCTGCACATCGAGCTAGGCCTGCTTTGCCAGAGGATAACGCATGTTGGAGGCCCACCGAAATCCGTGCTGTGAAATGTGTGTGTACCCTAACAAACCTGCACCCTCTAATGCCTACGTTCCAACTAACTTGCGCGCCGACTTAGATTTCTTTCTCTGTAATCCTCAGCTATCGATGCTCTGAGACTGTTGAATTTTTTAAAAGAATGAATCCATGGACCAGCGATGTCGATATCTTCTTGCTTCCCAGAAGATGTGATGAATTAGACCTATCTAGCTCAATAACCAAGGCAGAGAAGATCCCGGGGCTTGTGGCCGAGACAGAGAAAGCAATGGGTCCCCACCAGACGACGTTCTTCAATTCTGCATGAGCGAAACAATACTCTCCCCGATATGCAACGATGGATGGCATTTTGAGCCGCTTATCTCAGAACTTGATGATTTCGTACACGGAATTTTTCCTAGTTGCTGTTGATTTTCATCGTCACCCTGACCTCAGCCATGTATTTCGCTGTACCACCTGCACCAGGGACGAAGCTCTGCTTCCTTCTTACAGGAAGCAGAGCTAGAAGCATCTCATTGGAGTTTGTCTCAAGCGAGAGATCATTTTCTACTCTAAATCAATTCAAGCCCTTCACGAACTCTAGATTCAACTGCCTGAATCCATACCTACATACTATTGTCAACTTTCATCATCAAGAAATACTAAATGATTATAGAAACTTTATTGACTTGAGATATCTCTTCTACTAATAGTGGATTCTTATTTCCGTCTAATTAATAGTTTCATATAAATGTTTTGTAGATCAAGCTTTAGGATAATGAAATGAATATGAATATATACTCCAGATTATAACTATATCTGGAAATTTAAATTTCATTTAAAAAAATTTTATACCTGAATAATTAATCTCCAGATGAAATAAAGTTTGTAAGCAATTTGGATGAAATAACTTGAAGCAGATCTGCATTAGATATTGGAGTCATTTGGAATTTAATTTGCAAATCATCTGTTTTACCGTGGATAGTTTATATGGTGAACTTGTTTAAAAATATTCAAGAATAGTTTAGTATTTTTTGAACTCTCCAATTTGACTTTTAAATACAATAAATCTAAAAATTAACCTTTTGAGAAAATATTTTAAGAAATTTTTCTTGGAACGTAATTCTAAAATGACTGATTTTCTATAATATACAAAGATAAAGTACTCATATATAACTGATACGGAACGCCTAGTTGTCACTCACCAGGGGCTAATTAGCCTTCACACTAGTATACGAACTCCAGTTATTGGGCGGATGGGGCTATAGGGTACATGGTAAAAGCTGAACTTAGCAACTACACTTCATTCTAATGTACTACTAAGATGCCATGATGTGAACAGCCACGTAAGAAGCTGACTACCACCTCTACCATCTAAAAGACACATCAAGGTTGCTTGCAGCGAAAACGGCCTCGTGCATACCACGAGGCCGTTTTCGCACCTCGTGGTATGCACAAGTGGCAATTTAGACGGTGCTCAATGCAAATGCTTCAAATAACTCATTGACTGCATTGAACATTTCGCTACGTTGCACTGCTCATGCTTATTGTCCGAGTTTGATGAATAACTCAATGAGTTATAGATACTGTGGCTGCAACCGGATTTTTAAAACAATCACAGTATAAGCGGTATGTTGATTTTTTGCGCATGATACCTTTTGTAGTGCATAACCTAGGAGGTTAAAACCATGTACTCACATTTCTTTGCTCCAACTAAGTCACCGAGAAACTCTAAAGTGGACTACATGAGTATCCGCTCAAAGGACATCCAGAATAATCCAATACCACCCTACTTGCATTGAACATCAACTAATCCTACCTCCACTTGTGCCCACCAAAAATTAGTACTCACAAAATTCCCTGACATGAACCTTGACGTGGCTTTTGGATTGCTGCCATGAACCTTGACATGGCTTTTGGATTGCAAAAGTGACCATCAGTTTCCTAGGTGATGGTTGACACCATAGCATAAGATGCTATGGTGTTAACCACCATGTAGGAAACATGGTTCATAACTAATGTAGTTCACGAAGTTCAACTTTTACCGCATGTACCCTATAGTCCATATACTAGGGTGAGGGCTAATTAGCCCTACCAAATACATTCAATACAGTTTTGGGAAGTAACTCGAATTGTTGAATCATGCAGGTATCGATTCGTTTCATGATGAATGAGCAATAGGCGTCATCTTGAGTAAAGCCGATAGAGGGGCGCTTGGAACACCCGATTGGTTGCTACAATCAAGCTTGTGGAATTTCGATTTAATCCCGTTTCAGATCAAGGCGAGACAACAAACTGATGTCCGAAGAAAGTTGAGTCCCCTCGGTCGTAACTGGCACGGTAATGTCTCACGCACTCGCTCAGCAACCGAGAAAGAATCGCCGGAGATTTTGCATGTATCGATCACAACCTCAGTCTGACAGTCTTCCAGCGACTCTTGAGAGAACTTTCAGTATATGCCTACTCACAATATCAACAAACCAGAGTCGTACGTGGATTCTTTGGTGGGAAGGTACAGCACTTCATCAGTGCTTCGAAGCCAAAGAACGTACACCAAAAATAAGTATAAGTGAACCAATGACAGGGCAACGACACAACAATTATTTCTCCTAAGTGATTGGTGTAACAAGAGAATCAATAGTTAAGTATCAGATATACCAAAGTTATGATGAAAGCAACGTGATGATGGTCAGTCTTGACCGAGCAGCATTTTGCGAATGCTTGAGAGGCCAGCACGAAGAGAAGACGGAGTCGTATAAGAGACCGGGACCGTCCAGGGTCACATCACTGTTCGTCCACTACTGGAGAAGATCGAGCATGTTGGAATATCTCGAGCAGAAGATAATTCTAAGACTCAAGGGCATCGATGCTCATGTTTTCACCGAGATGGCAACTCACTATTATAGGCCGTTGATTTTGTGAACTTGGAGATCATGGTTCAGCTTAAGCTTGGGTGGCTCGAGTATCATTCTGGAGCAATAACGAATAGATTAAATAATTTCACTGAAATTTAATGGGTTTCCGGTATCGTGCGAAAGTCACATCTTCTTAATTGTGCAGACTGGGTGTTGTATTTCTAGTAGACATCGGACCTTCTATCCTCACGTATTAACTCACTGTTGAAATTCATGGCAGAATCTCAGAACTCCCTTCAATCCACAACCGCGAGTCCAAGCTTAACTACGTCGGGAATTGGACCATAATTTTTATTCGCTCCATGAACGAATTCGTCAGAATTGGGAAAAGAGCATTTTCGGAATTGGGGAAAACGAGCATTGCCAGCAATACTCTGTGAAGCTTGACATGTAGCCAACACAGTCAGAAGCCACGCGTTGTATGCTTCGGAATTTTTCATCTCGTTTGCACTTACTGTGCTTCAGTTCAATTCGCCTGACGAGGCTAGTGCTGCATCGACCCATTCACCCACGGACAAATATAATGCTCTTCGCTGAAATCGAACTGCCGATAATAAATTTGAACCTCCAACCACTTCTCGACCCGCGCTCCTTCCTTCTTAGAATTTCCAATATTCTCCGCCCGTCGTGTCAGCTGAGCTTCACTCGAATCAGGCCTCTGATCGTCATCGTTGCCGCGAATGTGCAAATTCGATACCGGGTATGGAGTCTTCACCGCTTCGACACTCCGTCCTCCACCTTCCATTCCTACGTCCGCGAATTGCCTCCAATGCTCCAGGCGGAGATCGCTTGCCTGCCTGACTGGTACACCACCTTCCATTCCTACTTCCTCGAATTGCCTCCAATTCTCCAGGCGGAGATCGCTTGCCTGCCTGACTAGTACACGTCGGTGGGTCTGAGAAGCAAATGCTCGATGTCCCTTCCATCAAAAGAAAGAAAGTTTTTTTTGAATTCTTTTTCTGAGTGCATTACCGCCATCATATATATCCGCAACTTCGTCTCCAGTCAAAGAATTGCAGTCGCCGAGCTCATCCACTACAATCGGTGAGAGCCCGATCACCGATTGCGGACATCATCGGACCCTGAAGATACAGACGGAAGACGCTTGGGCTACCTCAACCCGAATGCCTCCTCGCGAAGTGTTCGGTTTCACTTCAAGCACACCACAGCCATCGAGTCATCGGCAGCCGGCACTTGCACAATCTTCCTTCCCGCCTCAGGGAAGAATTTCGAGGTCAGGCGCGATGGCGACCCACAATATATTCGACAACCCGTGGAGGTCAGAGTCGAGCAAGCGGAAGGTCCGAGGAATCCGCTGCGTGGAGTGTACGAAGCAGCAGCCAAGACTCGAGGGAGGGAGGGATGGAAGGAGGGAGAGAGAGGGTAATGGTGTGAGAGTGCGAGCCACGCATACGCACTCGCTCGCGCTCGCACTCTCACACCATGACTTGTGTACTCGTATTTACATAGCGAGTCTCGATTGCGCTGGATTGCGCTCGAATTCGCTACGAGCGGACGTTGTTTTGGAGCTTGACGAGGGCCGAGAAGGCGCTATCGGGCGTGGAGATCAGATGATCGTAAGTGCCCAGCTCGACGATGGCGCCATTGCGCATGACGGCGATCTGATCGGCGTGGCGCACGGTGGAGAGGCGATGCGCCACGACGACGGTGGTTCGCGAGACGCGGATGCGGTCCAGCGCCTCCTGGACGACCTGCTCGGACTCGGCGTCGAGGGCGCTGGTGGCCTCGTCCAGCAGCAGGATGCGCGGGTCCTTGACGATGGCGCGCGCGATGGCCACGCGCTGCTTCTGCCCGCCCGACAGCTGAATGCCGCGCTCGCCCACGCGCGTCTCGTACCCCTGCGGCAAGTCGGCGACGAACTTGTGCGCGTTGGCCGCCGCGGCCGCCGCGCGCACCTCCTCGTCGGTCGCCGCCTTGCCGTACGTGATGTTCATGCGGATGCTGCCGTCGAACAGCACCGGCTCCTGGCTCACCAGCCCGATCTTGCTCCGCAGCCAGCCCAGCTGCAGCGACCGGATCTCCACGTTGTCGATCAGCACCTGCCCCGCCTCCGGGTCGTAGAACCGCTCCAGCAGCGAGATGACCGTCGACTTCCCGCTCCCGCTCTCTCCCACGAGCGCCAGCGTCTGCGCACACGACCGCATTTCCCGTCAGCTTCAAGTTCCCCGTCCCGACGACGGGCCGAACCTGCAAAAACCGGGAGTTTAACCGGGAGAGAGAGATAGAGTGAACCGACCTGACCGGCGGCGAGCACGAAAGACAGATCCTGCAGGACGCAGACGTCCGGTCGCGCCGGGTACCGGAAGCGCACGTGCCGGAACTCCACTCGGCCCTGGAGCTTGTCGAGCGTGGCGCCGGCCGGATCCAGCGGGTCGATTCTCGACTTCCTGTCGAGGATTTTGAAGATGCTCGTGACGGCCGACTTCGCCTTGGCCACGTCGGGCGCCATGGTGAACGACTGCGTCACGGCGATGGCACTCGTCGCGATGCACAGAAATACCTGCGTCGCGATCATCATCAGTCCCTTTTCCCTCTCCCGACTGACTCAGCTCGCGAAGCATTCAAACCAATTAAATCAGCAGCGGCAGCGGCGGGAGGCAATTTGAATGGCGAACGGTCAGTGGGGAGCGTGTACCCGGAAGACGTCGGCGAACGACATGCGGCCGAGGGCGACGAATTTGGAGCCGGCCCAGAAGCCGAGCGCGTAGGCGGCGAAGAGCGTGAAGGTGGCGACGCCGAGCGCGATGCCGCTGATGACGCCCTGCTGGACACCGTTCTTCAGCGGCTGCCGGCACGACTGCTCGTAGAACGCCAGCACCTTCTCCTCGGCGCAGAACGACGCCACCGTGCGGATGTTGCTCACGGCGTCGCTGGCCACGCGGCTCGCCTTCTCGTAGTTCGCCTGCCACCACCATCGCACCCGAGCTCCTCATCATCATCGCACTCGGACTTCATCCTCTCGAGACTCTCGACGATTCGACGATTCGAAGACATTGACAGAAGCATTCATGAGCAGGAAGGATTTGATTTCTCGTACCTTGGCGCTTCTCGAGACTCGACGAGTCGACAATTCGACAATTCGACGACATTGACAGAAACATGTATGAGCAGGAGGGCGTGGATTTCTCGTACCTTGGCGCTTTTGGCGAAGCCGCTCAGTCGCTTGCCGGCGATGAGGCCCTGGAGGCCCAGCAAGGGGACCAGGCCCAGAACCACGAGGGCGAGCTCCCAGCCGGAGGTGAAGGCGATGATGAGACCGGCTGATATGGTGGCGCAGTTCTGCACCACCAGCGACAGCGAGTCCCCCAGCATGCCCCTGACTGCACCCGCATCCGAGTACAGTCTCCCGCTCACGGCGCCGCTGTCCACACGCACCACAATGCCAAAAGCTTCAGCACGAAGGTTTCGAATTCGGTGAAATCTACGGGGCGAGGTGAGCTAGACTGGAGGCATCGGAACTCGTGGGGCAGCAGCAACAGCTCGATCGAAGGCTTGAATGAATTGCAGCCATAAGGGAAGAGGAGGAGCAAAGAAAAGGAGTAACCTGGTGTTGGCATCCTCGTCGAACCAAGCAATTTCTTGGCGCAGAACGTGACTGAAGGTTCGATCTCTGACGCGCCGGATCAAGCGGTTGCCCGCCACGGCGAAGCACAATTTTTGGATGGGGGAAGCGACGAGGGTTCCGGTGGAGAGAGCCAGGAACATGAGAGCCCAGAATCGGCCCTCTCGTCGGATCTCGTGGGGAGTTTTGAAGAGCAATTGGATGACACTCGCCAGGAGGAGGCCGAACATGGGCAGGACGAGGCCCTGGCCCGCCGCAGCGACGCTGCCCACGACGAAGTAGTGAGCCTCGGGTTTGTTGAGCTTGGCCAAGCGCCAGAAGGACCCTTTCTTGACTTTCTCCTCGTCGTTGTCGAGAGCGACGGTGGATTTCATGCCAGCCTCTACATCCACGTCCGACGTCTGGCTCAGCGACCTTCTAATTCTGCTGCCGGTCAAGCCGAGCGTGGACACCAGTCCTCCCTTGCCATCCAAGCTGCTCCCCCTGCTGAAATTTCGAGAGAAGCGCTCACTGCCTCCTCTGCTACCACTTACGTCCTCAACCTCGTTTCCAATCGACACTGGACGTACGACATCCTGCTCTGCTTCACCCTGATGCATGGCTTGGAGGCGGATGAGCTGAGAGTATCCGCCATCTGGATTCTCGATGAGCTCCGCGTGTGTGCCTGACATGCAAACGATGCAGCAGCAGGACGAGAGTGGATGGTCAGCTGAGCTCGAGATCTGTTATCGGAGGAACATCGTACAACCTCATTGTTCCGAGAAATCCCAGTCACTAGTACAAGGTTATCATTTGCAGGAGGCAATTTCCAGAGGGCTCGGTGCCAGATGACGTAGACATACGGACAGGATTCAATTCCAAATTGATAATAGAATCGACTTATTTCAAGCAAGCGTGTTGAGAGTTTACCAGTCTCCAGAATGACACCATTACGAACCACGGCTATCATGTCTGCATTCTTGATGGTCGAGAGCCGGTGTGCCACCACCACCGTGGTCCGACCTACCATCACTCGGTCCAAAGCGTCTTGCACCACTCTCTCAGAGTCCGCGTCCAGAGCACTTGTGGCTTCATCCAGTAATAAGATCCGAGGGTCTTTCAGAATCGCCCTGGCGATGGCGATTCTCTGCTTCTGACCTCCGGACAGCTGTGTCCCACGTTCTCCAACTTGTGTATCAAAACCCTGGGAAATTCTTGAAGATGTTAAAATCGGAAGATGCTATACAACAATTTTGTCCATGTTGACGTCAAGTTCCAACACGCACTGAAGGTGAAGTTTCTAGCCTACTTTGGCGATGAGTTAAGGGTCCGGATCTTCGTTCACCTGAGGTAGTTTTTGGATGAAGGTCCAAGCGTTGGCAGCTATGGCTGCAGCTTTGACCTCCTCCATTGTGGCACCTTCCTTGCCGTATAAGATGTTCTCTCCTATGGAAGTACTGAATAAAACAGGCTCTTGGCTGACGAGGGCGATCTGCTCCCTCAGCCATCTCAACTGCAGGGTCTTAATATCGACTCCGTCGAGCAAGACATGTCCCTCTTGTGGATCGTAGAACCTCTCCACCAAACTGATGACTGATGATTTTCCGCTGCCACTCTCTCCGACCAGTGCAGCTGTGGTGCCCACCGGGATGAAGAGACTGAAATTCTTGAAAATGGCAACGTGAGGTCTGGTCGGGTACGCGAAGGTCACTTCTTTCAGATGAATGTCGCCTTTAAGGTTCTTCGGAATAAGGCCACTCATATCTGTCACATCGATCTCGGACTTGCGATGAATGACCTGGACCATTTTAAAGGCTGCTGCTCTGCCGGATGCAAAAGCAGAAATGGAAGGCGATATATGACCGAGGGCCCTGCAGGCCATAGATAAACAGAGCAGGTACGTGAACATGTGCACAATTTAGCAGCTTATCAAACGGGATGAGATGGAAACTGTCGACATCGTGAGATGTCTGGCACAACGAAACAGCAGAGCAACTGCCACAATTCCAGAAGCTGAGATCTTGAGCTTCAGCTCAAGAATGAACTCAATATAATGACAACAGCTGGTATTTTGCACATCTGGAGCCGACCCAAGGTCGAAGAAAGTTCTCATGGCTCTGGAAACAGATTTCGAACACTTACATGCCTCCCATGACCACGGCGAAGATGACCATGATAACGTCCCCGGCTGTGACACTTCGGTCAGCAACGAGGCGTGAACCATACCACAAGGCCATGGCGTAAGTATTGAACATGACGAAGAGAGTTAAACCTGAGCCCAACCCCATAGCGACCCCTTGTTGAACGCCAGCCGCTTCGGCTACTTTCAGCGAGCTGTCATAAGCCTCGCTAGCTTTCTTCTCTCCACCATAAGAGGCCACCTGCAAATCTCTCCCGGACGGAACGAGAGCAAGTTTTAGCATGTTTCTACGATGATTACATTAGCTTTTATAGGGGCCAAAGTTTGAAGTCTGTCAAGTTGGGACGGTGCAAGGAGTACTCACCGTTCTTATCGAGCTGAGAACTTGTTCCACAATTTTGCCGGCCTCAGCGTAAGCAGTTTGTCCTCGTATCGTGAGGGTTGAAACTCTCGATGACATAAATCCTCCCACAAACGCGATCACCGGTACAACCGAAACCAGGACAACAGTAAGCTTCCAACTCTTTATAAAAGCGATGACGAATCCAGCGGCGAATCTCGATAATAGTTGCACGGCATTTCCCACCTGTGAATGCCATCGGAGACCAGCCCGAAAATCACGTGTCATAGGTTTGTCAAAGTTGTAAGCTCACCGTGACTCATAGTGATTCAACAAGACATCCCAAAATCTTCGCAGAAGTTTATAAGGGTGTGGGTGTAGAAGAACGTATAAGGGAAATGGAAGATATGAAGTGCGCTCGCTCGATCACCCACCTTCTCACCCATGGCTTCTTGGATCAAAACTGTATCTTCTGACATTCTGGAGATCACATCCCCAGAGCTCACTTCTTGATCGAAAAATGAGACGTCTTGTCGAATGATGGCCTGCAGATAGAGAGCCCTGATACGAGACGCCTGTCTCTCTCCCGTAATCATCCAGCATGTTACCTCTGCACAACATTCGTTCCACACAAATCTCAGGGCATGCGTGCAAAATTTCACGAATTCTCGTCGTCCATCGATAAAATTCACAGAATCTGGTCACCCTGCGATCTCGAAGGCGACTAGAAAAGCATCGCTATGCTTGCCAGACGACATGTTTGTGCCAGACTCGGATTCTCTCTCGGTGCTACCACTCCCTGTCTCCATTGAACAAACTTTTGGTCCAGGCACGATTTGAAAGGATTTCCCGGAAAGAGCAGGACCTCCTTCCATTCTCACGGAGCACACCATTACATTTGGCCTGCTCTTAAGTAAGAACGAAGAAAATGCAGGACTATCTCAGCTGTTAATGTTCAGATTCAGGTCGAGATTCTGCCTCACAGATGGAGCCCGTAAGTGAATCGGCAGAGCTTAGAAGAAGAAGCTGACTCCCTGGTTACTCAACTTCATGCGTCGGATCAAGGGTTTGATGAGAGAGAGAGAGGGAGAGAGATTTGTAACATTTTCTGGATTGTATTTCTTCTTTTCAAGTAATTATTGAACGAGCAAGAGCACGAGCAACGGTGGATTACAGCTGAGGGCGACGAAGGTGGTTGGTTACCTAAGCAAGATGCCACAGCTGCTCCCAGCCCGGCGTAGATATATAACATCGCAACCTGAAGGCATTGCACGAGAAGGTAAGTCAGTCAGTCGAATTTCTGCGTCACCTCTTCGAAATTCCGAGAAAGCCTGAAGTAACATCGCACAGGACAGCAGCTGAAGACTTCTCTTACTGACGCGAGCTGTGATGTGTTCCATCACAGCCTTCTGAGTTGTATTCTGATCAGAGAGAGGTCATATCAATCGCAAATTACGTATAAGAAAATCACTTGATGGATGACGGTCAAGTGAAATCATCGATGGACGAGGCGTTTCATCGACCGATTTGAAAGCGCAATCAAAATTGATTTTCACCATGTCTAAACGGCGGTATACTGTCTCTGAGATGCCCTGTAATGAAGGGCGTATGAGTCTTCAGGAGTTGGTGCAGGCATCGTCAGGCGCTCGACCGATTGTTTGCCGCAATTTTTCTCTGAGGATGAGCGAGGAATCAGTTCGGGGATTTTTTTTTTCCCGAGAGATTTCAAGATTTATTTCAAGAATCGTGTTGGTCCGAAGCACGAAGTATGGCGCCACTCGTCGAAAAGCCAGGCACGGGCGAGGGGAGAGGAGCGAAAGCACAGCGATTGAGGAGGACGAGGTGGTAGAGTTTCACCGCACCGTGGCCACTTCCGATTCGAGTGCACTGAAGTTCGTTCCGTTGGAGCCGAAGGCGTCGACGAGTCGGCCGAAAAGCAGGGTCATGAAGGGCTGCGCGACTCCAGAGCCCACGGCTCCAATCGTTCCCAGAATCATGAGCACCACGTCGAGGTAATCTGCGAACGCGAACATCTTGTACATGGGGATCATGTCCTTCTTCTTGCGCTCCTTCCTCTCGGCAGCAGACCCTTCAGAGCGATCGTCCGAATGCGCTTTCCCATCGCCTTCTCCGCCCGGCCCTGACTCCTTGGCGTCCTTCTCATCCTGCACCGCGATGACTACACTACCACCTTCACGAACTGTCGGCCCTCCTCCTCCTCCCCGAGCTTCTACGTGCTCCACCTCCATAGCTCCTCGAGGCCCCGCCATAATTCGCCCTTAACTCGTGAGCTTCAGTCGTCAGGGCAAAACTCAGAACAGCGCGATGGCTGATTGACGGAAAATTCAACAGACCCTTGCCCTCGCCCTCGCGAAGAATCTCGGCAGGCTGCGTTAGTCATGGAAATTTCGAAACTGCGACCTTCAGTCACGCAATCCTCGACGCCAGCTGCATTTCGAAGGCAATCTCGAGGCGCTACTCTCGTCACCTGCATTCCAGCGGGATTTTCATGGCTCGAAATCAGTCAGTCAGTAAATCAGTCAGCTCAAAGAATCCGCATCTGCTGCACTCCGAAGCATCTCCATCGCCTCGAGCTCGCCTCTCCAGTCCCCGCCCCACTCCTCCGAACGCCGCTCGTCCTCCAATTGCGCTCGAATCGCCCCCTCCTCACCTCGGCAGAAGATTAACCTCCCGAGTCCATTCTGCCAGGACGAGCAGGAGATTGGATTTGTGCGGAGACGAGTACAGATCCCGCCGAGCAACACCCGAATCGAACGGGGGGCATGGAGGAGAACCTGCAGGAGGATGCTGATGATGACCGCAGCCGAGACTCCGACACCTCCCAGCTAGCAGCTCATTCAATCTCTCAGTCATCCGTGCTTAGGTCAGTGAAGGCAGAGAGTCTGATGTGCCGAAGCCCGGCGACCAGACTTTTGTCCATGAAGCTCAGGCCTCATGACGATGACGTCGAGGGCGAGCCAGCAAGCGAGAGCGTGGTGGGGCCGTCTATGCTCACGCTCTTGCTCGTCTCGAGAATGGGGCCGAGCGCAGAATAGCGGGCGACCGTGGCCGGATCTGGTGCGCCTCATGTCCGGAGGGAGTGAGGGTTCCTCGACTGCCTCGATCCTTGCTCGAATCGCTTCTCGTGGCTGGCCCACAATCCACTCCCAGCGCTGCCAATTTTGGCAGCTCCAGAGCTTTCTCCTTGTATCCACGAATGGCTGAGCTCTACCTCGCTGCCGATGCCCATTTTCTGCAATGGATGCGCGAGAAGCAGCGGCGGCTTTTCTGCGAGGCCGAGCTCATAATTGGCTCCTTGATGGCAGCCCAAAAGCGTAGTTTAATGCACACGAGCCTCTTCCATCTGTTCATGGATTTCGCTGCCTCGGCCTCCGCGACTGAACTTCAGGAGGCTGTCTTGTTGGAGGCTGGAGTGCAGCAGCAGCCAGTCGGTCCGGCCTCAGACAGGTCCATCTTCCTCGGCCTGACTAAGCCAAGGCTTGCAGCTCGTGCACAGAGCTGGCCATGCCATTCTTAACTTGGCATTCTCCATTTAAATTGTTGTTGTTGTTGTGCATTGATGAATTTGATTTTGATTTCGATTCTGATTCCCTTGATTTCGGTCACTGCACTGCCACGTTTCGGAATTTCGACTTCGGATTTTTCACCCGAGCAGCTGAACTGCAACAATTATTTGGCATCTGGAACCGTCATCGACGCTTGCAGATCTCGCTGCGCTGCGTGCGTGCATGTAAGAAGATTTGGAATGCCAGCGAAATAAACGTCGATGAGCTCGGACCACGCGGATTGGCGTTGCGTGAGGAATGCATGCGCTGCAGTACGGCTCATATAAACCTTCGTCCCTTACAAGAGAGTGAAGTCCAGTGGGGCTGGGACTTATTGCTCTGTAAGATTGTCCGAGTGCGAGGGCTACATGCAACTCGATCGATCGCATGGTCTGGCAGTTTCGTGAATTGATTTATTGTGGAGATTGAGAGCAAGCTCGGCGAGTCTTAGACCGTAATGAATGGACTACGAGAGCCTTGCAGCCTCACCTAAGTTAGTACAACGAGAACCTGCCCTGCCCTGCCCGTGCTATGGAAATCTGAAATTCGGTACCTGATCTGCCTCCATTCCATCCTCTTCCGACAGCATGGTTCTAGAAGTCTTACGAGTACGAGTGAGAATTGGCCGGATCGTCTTCAACTCTTCTCGCATTCAGGTTCACTTGTTTTCTCTCAGAGCTGCTATAGTTGCTCCTGCCTCATCAAATCAAGCTGATCCGCAATCATCAACTACGAAGAGCGGACATGATTAACTTCCCCTCAAAAGGAAACAGAGATTTCAAGCGAATGGAAGTACTACCGAGAGGATTCGTGTTTGGTCTGCAGTAATCAAGCCTCCAATCCTCGAGCAGGAAAGTAAAATAGTGAAATGTTCCTAAAGTTTATGACCAGAGAACTCTCCTTGATTTGGAAGTGAGTGTAGGATCATGGCGGTCCGCATGTGATGCAGTTACTGGACTAGAATGTTACCAAATCGCTCACATTGTAAAGTTTGTCTTCGTCAGTTGCAGTCGGCAGCCAAATTGACATGAAATCAAACACACTTCTTGCCGGAATCAGTCTTACATGCAAAGTCTCCGACCAATGATGCTGAACGAGTGGAGATGAAGCATTTAACACGGTCCGAAAATAACTCACGAGGTCAGAGGAAAAAGCGCAGATTTCTTTTCGAATTACGGCTGCCAATGCCTGCCCAATACATGTCTCATCTCTCAGACCAAAGGCCAAAGACAGAGTGAAGCGGAAGGTGCACGATGAGTACACGTAATCATGAACGGGTACTGCAACTTCGGCCGTTTGCTTCGGCAGTTCTCCCGGGGCTTTGACTCCACACAGAATCGTTGGACTTGAATCAGATCTAATCGCGGATGGATGATGGGCCCAAAAGCACACGCCAAGGCAATTCGGCTCACCTTTCACCTCAAGCGTTACGCCTCATGTGTGTTGCTAGCTGATCAGCGACTAAGGAAGAGTGTCCGAGCTTCGGCGTGATCTCATGAGGACATGAATCGCATTCGAGAGTCTTGTAACGACTCTCGACCAAACTTTCAATATCGACGTACTGAAATTATCAACCACGAGTCGTACAATCCTTTATATCAGGTGCTTCAAACTTCGATATCAAGAGTTTATACCACAGATTTTGAATCAAGTGGGAATAGATCTTGATTGAATTAATCTTCGTTCATAGAGAGGAGACCTCATGCTCGAGGATCGGAACAGGCATTGGGTAGCAGTCCGCCAATTTCAGCTCGAGTCCAGGTCTGTACAAGGTCACGAGTCATGACTCGAAGGAGACTCGAGCTGCACTGGCCTAAATTGATGCTGTCACTCTTGGGGCTTGTAAAACGATGATACTCTGCCAGGCTTCTATTGTACTGATTCCATGACAATAAATCTCATACCTGCTCATTAAATTGAGGAAACTGGAAACCGTTTCCTTCGTGACAGATGGTCAACAGATGATCAACATACAGTTGACCTCACGTGTCCAGGTGCAGTGCAGTGGCTGAGCGTGTACAGGAGCAAGGCAAAGGTCTATCATGAAGTCCACAGTCCATGATGGACCTTTGCCTTGTCCTTCGAATCAGTCTCTTCTTCAAGAGTGTCTTCAATTTGCAAGCTGCTGCACGACGACTCGACGAGGACACCCTCACAGTGGCACACAGGTATCAGCATCAGTAAACCAACACTGGATCTAGAACCCGGGACGTGTCAGCGTCAGCGTCGTCATTGTTGGCATAAGGTGTTGAGTTTATCAGTCCAGACATGCTGAGGCCGGGAGGCAAACTGGGCATCCAGACGGGGAAAAGGTCGGTGCTTTGGTTGTTCGTTGTAGGACACCGCCATTAACTCTCGGCACAGATGTTGGGTCACGGCCTGACAAGCTGTGTTTCCCACGTAATGAATACAAAGCCCCTTGTTGTCTCCACGAGATCCATCTTTTTTGACTCGAGTGATGCAAGCCCGATGACAATTTCCCCGGCTGCAACTGCAGCTGCAGCTGCTTCTCCTTCGCCCTCTCGTCGAGCTTCGGGATTGATCTCGTCTCAAAGCCGAGGAAAAAGCCTGCCGATGATCTGATCCAAGCTCTGGGGAGGGCGCTTGTGGCTCAGACGACTGCACTCCCCAGAGGACGAAGTGCAACGACGTGTCCGACGAAATAGTGACCTCTGGCAAGGCTTGTCCTCCATCAGCGGATTAGTCTTTTGCTCGACACAGCGCGTTTAGAACCTTCGGAGAATCGCCAGGATCCAGAAAGTCAGCGCAATTTTGTCGCTCTAGATCAACAGTGCTCTGCTGTGTAGCTGCGCCAAAAGTGCTCAGACACTCCTCCTCTCTTCGCCCTTTGACTGCTTGCTTGAGAGAGCGAGTGAATTGTCGCATCTTGCCTCCAAAAAGCTCCATCACCATGTCTGGAACTTGCCGTCTGCTGCTGTTCACTCATCCATTTGCGCAGTCGGTCTGGTCACCGCTTCATCCGCCCGCAATTTTCGTGTCCCTCTAATTGGAATTTCTGTCAGCGAATCATGGAACGACGAACCAACGCAGTCGAGGAAAGGAAAGGAAAGGAAAGGAAAGGCGCGAGAGGGCCAGCCCTTCTTTCGAAGGAATGTCTTATCCCTTCAGAATGCCCCTTCACAGAGTTTGGTTCAAGTAGATTACGTATGAAATATAAAAAGTAGATTTGTTCCCGACGTCGCATAAAACAGAATGGCTTGCCAGTTTATTCCGGAGATAAATTTAGTGCTCTTGCATTTATCTTCAAGAAATCCAATTTGTCTTTCTCGGACTTTGCAACAAAGGACACGCCAAAAACAACAAAAGTTAATTCACCCAAAAGGTAATTTGCTTGCTTTACGTATGCACTCTACTGTAGTAAAATTATGTAGGTTTAGAATCAGGGTACATCCCTAGCAAATCTTAATTTTAATCTCAAAATTCAAAACCATGTTGTATTTCTGCAAATGGAACAAATCACCTCGGAATTGACACAGAAAATGCTTGATTCAATCTAAGTCCTCGAGGTTCCGAACAATAAATTACACAAATAGCTTCATTGCGTGAACCCTTATGCATCACATAGAACTTCCACAAGCAGGAATAAGGGTTTTTTTTCTTTTTAAAAGCAAGTGGTGACACACCGGGGTATGCTGGCAACATCCATTTTCTGATTTTTTACCTGAATAGCCCATGAACAACCTGATTACCTAGAGATAAAAGTGGCAAGAGGTGGCCGCTCCTAGTTCCACACTACCTTTTCACCCCTTTGATAAAAAAAAACCCCTGCATGGTTCCATATGATATTGAGATACCTGATTGCATGTGGCACACCGTGGTTGGTGCCTCTCGCACCAATCGATCTTAGTTGCTGTCGTCCTACCCAAGTCGATTATCGCATCCTATATAAGTTGTTCCATAGCGCTGGTGACCATATGTGGTTGTGAAAGACGAACTGATACCTCTGGATCCACAAGATCCAAAGCATCGCGTCCCTGGGGATCGATCCAAGACCTGGACACTTGCTGAAGTTAAAGCGGAAGCGGCTTGCCCAACACACATTGCTCCCGAGAGAGGGAACGCCATGGCATGCTCGAAACTGGGGTTCCTGCAGCAGCATGCAACAGTGACATTGTGAAGGTCTAAGCATGTATTGCCATCTTACAGTTTAAGAAGCAATGCAATATTGATTCGGATTCTCCTGTCTCATAACAAACACATAGATCGGATGTTTGTGCAAAGGTTTGATGGCGCCATTGGTTCACTGCAACGGCCCGGTGATAAATACTCCACAAAAATGTTTCTTCTTTTTGGGCCTGTCCACACTTACTTCTAGTCCAACATGAGTGAGGCTGGTAGCACTCCGTTCCATTTC